GCTGGTTATCATTATTGAAGGGCGTTCAGGTGGATCCATTATAGCAAAATAGTCGCCATCCTCCATGTGAGCAAAACAGTCAACCCCACACACAAAAGCATGCAAATCAATCATAGCCGTTTCCACTCCCTCCTCCAGCTTCCACAGTTGAAGTCGGTGGAAAAACCCCTCAAGTAAAGCCACCGTACAAGCATCAGGCTTCTTCAGCATTTTAGAAGGTTTTAGCACTCCGGTGTACGCAAGTAAAAGCCCACAGTAAAAACGGAACTGCTTATCGAAAGGATTCAAGAACTGAAAAAATGAGTTCGTAGACACTCTATCCGTTAAAACACACCAAAAATCATACCCATACCGCACCACAAACTGCGCTGTGAGCTTAATAATACCAAGCTCCTTGAGTGTGATCCCCTTTCCAGGGACTCTAAATGTTACGCTTCTTAGAGTAGGAGCCCTTAAAGAATCGATATCGCCTACACATTTGTATTGCTTACGAACACTAGCAAGCTGAGATCCCAATGGAAGCTGCAAAAGCATATCAGGCTCAGATAGTGTTACCCGGTTCATCATCACTGAAAGGCGTTCAGGTGGTGGCATGGAAGCAGAATAATCTTCATCATCAAGGTGAGCAAAACGGTCAACACCACCCACAAAAGCATGCAAATCGATCACAGCAGCCGCCACTCCCTCCTCCAGCCTCTCCAAGTGAAGGAGTTTGAGAAAAAAATCAACAACGGCCCTCGTACAAGCATCACTCTTCTTCAGCTTTTTGCAAGGGAATAATACTCTGGAATACGCATCAACAAGCAAATTGAAAATATTGAACCTGATCTCGGTTGGCTCCACAAACCCAAACGAAGGGTCCGTAAACAGTACTCTCTTCGTCAGAGAAGGGTAGTCCGTAAACAGTAGTCTTTTCTTCAGAGAAGACGGGAGAAAGAACATAAACTCAAACAGAGGGTTCATAGCCACTCTCATCATCAAAGCCCGACGAAAAGGCATCCGATACCGCGCCACAAACAACGCTGTGAGCTTAATAACACCGAACTCCTTGGGTGTGATCCTTATAGTAGGAGGCCCAAGACTGGTTTCTGCATGGCCTACACACTCATGAATAGCTGAATCATCAGCTTGCAAATCAGACAAGTGCGTTATCATTGAAAAGGGTTGAGGTGGTGGTAGGATAGCAGGATAGTGAGCATCGTCCATGTGAGCAAAAAAGTCAACACCACCCACAAAATCAAACAAATCAATCATAGCAGTCTCACTTCCCTCCTCCAGCTTCTCCAATTGAAGATGGTCGAAAATACGATCAAGAAAGAAGGGAGAACCAAGGGAAGGTTTTAATACTCGTGAATACGAAGTAACGAGGGCATTATAAAGACCGAAGTTGCTATTAGTTGGCTTAATAAAGTCAAACATAGGGCTCATAACACCTACACGCTTCAAATCCTCATGAAAAAGCTTCCCATACCGCGCCACAAACTGCGCAATGAGCTTAATAGTACAAAGCTCCTTCTCCCTGCGTGAGATCTCGGTATATCGAGGCTCCTTTGAGGGAGGAGGCTCAAGATCATAGGATTGTGCTTTGCCCTTAGGCTCACGAGTAGCTGGAGTATTAGGTTGGAAATCCGGAGGTTTACCTCCTTGATATTCAGTAAGCTTTTGCTGGTACAAAGCGTGATTAGGGTCTGAGCTACTCATAAAGCTGAAAGTTGTATCTCCCCTATTAACGATTATCATCTCCTTCTCAAACTCCGGCCCCCTTAGTGCAACCACATATGCCATTTTCTCGATCAATCCTACTATGCTTTCTGGAGGCTGCTCAGTGATTATTTCACCTGCCGCCATGTTCTCTATACAAGCACTAAAACATGCCAAAAAAAAAAAAAAAAAAAAATCAGATTTTCCGTTGCTTACCTAATCAAATCCAATAATCAAACCCATGAGTCTTACCTCTCAAACAATGGTCGCAGCTAATTCAAACCCACGCACGAGAGAGAAGAAGACAGCCGGCGGAGAGATCAAAGACGAGTGGAGTGGAGGGAGAAGATCAAAGAGGAGTGGATTCCGGCGAGAGATCCGGCGGAGAAATCCAGCTGCGAAGAGATCCGACGAAGATCTCGTTTCTCTTCTCACTTTGTCGAAGGATGGCTCTCTGAGTCTTTGTCGTGGTTAGAATGATGAGAAGTAGGTTTAGGTTTTTTGGTGTAATTCTCCAACTTAGATAGGGGTATTTAGGTCATTTTATATTTTAGACTGAATAGCTCCAGTCAACTGCTCCAATCAGACTCAGTCGGAAAATGATTATTTTTTGGATGAGTTTAATAAAAATCATCCAACTTGTTCATCTCACTGCTCTGTAAAATTGTTATGGTTTTCAATAATCGCCCCAAACAACTATCAATTCTACTGATATAGGTTGATTAACAATGTAAGCAACGATATTCAGGAAAAAAAAAACTCTACTTTGGGCTCGGAGAGAAAGATAGGGATTAGGGTAAAAAAATAAATAAAAAAACTCAGAGGACTCAGGCGAGATAAGAAACACCGTACCTCATCCGGTCAGGAACAGTCCCGCCGCAAGAACCGCCGTAACGTTTAGAAAGACCGACTTGGAGCTTAGACATCGACGATACAAGGAAACTGGAAAATCCCCTCTTGACAGCCGAAGCTGATTCCTAACCTAGGCGAGCATTTATCTGTTCCCGCTTTTCTAATGGGCCTTTACTAATTGGATTTACAAAGTTTGATCCATAATCATTTGCCAGACCGACTTAATTTGGTAGAATGGACTTGTTTTTTTTTCCCTTCTTTCTGTTGTCCATAGTAAACAAAAACCCAACAACTTTTCTTATCTCAGCATTTTAAATAAGCGACAAATATTGAATTTTTTGAAATCGTATTTACTGCAATTAAATTATAATCCCCATAATTTCATGGTTAGACTTAAAAAAAAAAAATTAATCTCATCTCAAACATCCTTCTATTTTTCTTATGCTTTCTTTTCTATTTATCACTTCTTACGAATCATCGACTCCATTCACTTCTTATGGAACTTTCTACCATTCTTTTTTTCCGGCTTTTCTAATGGGCCTTTACTAATTGGATTTACAAAGTTTGATCCATAATCATTTGTCAGACCGACTTAATTTGGTAGAATGGACTTGTTTTTTTTTTCCTCTTTCTGTTGTCCATAGTAAACAAAAACCCAACAACTTTTCTTATCTCAGCATTTTAAATAAGCGACAAATATTGAATTTTTTGAAATCGTATTTACTGCAATTAAACTATAATCCCCATAATTTCATGGTTAGACATAAAAAAAAAAAAATTAATCTCATCTCAAACATCCTTCTATTTTTCAAACAATTGAAATTATATATATATATTAAAACTGAACTAAAGTTTTTTAAAATAAACTTTCAAAAAAAAAAATTATTATATCATCTGAAGTCATTTTTCTAAATTAAATATGATTATAATTAAGTGTAACATAATGCTATCATTATTTCTATCTTTTTGAAAGAAACCCATACGATACGAGTCATACGACACAACACGACACGCGTTTCAACTCGATATTCTTACAAAAGCCACATGATGAAGATTTCCATGTTCATGGCCATGCCCCATGCATGTTTACAACCATGACCATCATCAAGCAAGTGTTGTGATGGATCAAGATCAAAGAGTTTCAGATCTAACAAACTTTTCCTTTGTTTAGAATTATGCTTCATTAAGTGTTAAATAAACAAGATTTGTTCCTTAAATAATACAAACACTAGATGTTAACCCGCGGTACACCGCGGGTCTATATTTTTATTAAATAAAAAAATTGAATATTTTTTTTAAGATGATCTATAAATATATGCTACTGTATAGTACACCTTGGGACAATATTTTATAACTAATAATTAGAAATTTTAAATTGTATTTATTTTATTAATATTGTTTGTCTTGTTTTGTTTAGTGTTTAAGATTGTATAATTATATTTAGATTGTTAATTCTAGGATTTTACCCGTAGTATATCATCTCATATTAATATCGACCAAAACCCGTCTCATCATATAACTCTGTCCCGTGAAATTAAACGTCATTTTGTCATTTTATTATAAAGGTCAAATATTTATAATACTTGAAACTTCATAAAAGTTTTAATATCAACCCAAACTTCATAATTATATTTTGATTGTTATATTTAGGATTTCACCCGTAGTATACCGTCTCGTATTAATATTTTTTATAAATATTTATAATATTTAAACTTCTTATAAATTCGTATAAAGTTCAAATATTTATAATAGTTGAAACTTCATAAAAGTTTTAATATCGACCCAAACTTCATAATTGTATTTTGATTGTTATATTTAGGATTTCACCCGTAGTATACTGTCCTGTATTAATATCTTTTATAAATATTTATAATATTTAAACTTTTTATAAATTCTTATAAAATTCAAATATTTATAATATTTGAAACTTCATAAAAGTTTTAATATTATACATATTTAAAACGTTTAATAAAGTTAAACTTTTTCTAAGTAAATTCATAAAATTATTATATAAATGTGATCAAATTACATATATATTCATAAAATTATTATATAAATGTGATCAAATTACATATATATTTTGTTTTTAAAACATTCCTATTGTTGATCCTTGCTTAAGTAGTAAAAATGAGATCAAATCAAAAGAGGATTGCTATAAACTTCTACTTTCCTGCAAGAAAAAATAAACAAATTAAATTAAGAATTATATGGGTGAAATTAAATAAACAAATCAAATTAAATATTGTTACGATCTATTTTAAGTAATCTATATTTATGTCAATGAATAAAAATAAATTATTTGCTAAACTGAGTAGAAATTGATTTTCAAATTATTATTCTTTCCAAAATCTTAACTAAAGATTTGAGCATTAAACGTTTTTAAAATGTATTTATAGTAAGTGATTAATTTTTCCTAACATTTTTATAACAGTTGTATAAAATTCAGTTAGTTGTTTAGGGAAATAATTAATGAATTAAGATCAACGTGATTATTGCTAATTGATCTGTTAAAAAGAAATGTTAGTGTTTTATGTAAAGTTAATATGAAAAGATTTAAAATGATTTTTGTGATTTTGTTTTGTTTTTAGTTTGGATTTTAATCCAACCACTCTTTCTTTGAATTGTTTAAAAGATTGTATAGTAGAATTTAAAGGAACAATAGATGAGATAAGATATGTGATATTAATTAGTTTAGATTGTAAATATATTCGAAATCAATTAGAGAATAAAGTTATTAAGTTACGATTAATGTGGCAATCAGTTTAAATTATAATAACAAACTGTATTCTGCGAATGGTAATGTTTTATCCTTTTTCCCAA